GACCCTAGGACCAACAAGGAAGAAGTGCATGTGCGGAATGTGGGACCCTATCCAGAGAAGCAGTGATACCAGAGATGGAGGCAGACATGGTGACATGGAGAGAGAGAGAGCAACTGAGGACTCTAGACTCACAGAAAGAGAAAAACTGAGTGCTAGTGGCCAGGAAGCAGGATTGCAAAATGTGCCCTTTGGTTTTTTAAATTATTATATATTCCTGAATGTTTTTGTGTACATCTCCCCACCCCCTCACCCCACCCCCAACAAAAAAGAAAAACAGAGGGAATGGAAGCAAATACTGTTGAATGATGATGCATGGAGGAGATTGTAACCATTGCAATGAAATGATGTTGTGTATAGCTGATGTTCTCCCATGTAAATTATCACTCAGTTCACAATTAAAAAAAAAAAAGGTTACCCCTTATGAGTCCCCCAAAATAGTTGCCATAACCTCCTGAGCTGACCTCTCTTCCTTGAATTTAACTGATCTAGCAGAGCCCCTCAAAACGGATTGGATTTTGCTCTCTGGATTGACTTGGTAAATGCAAGACTCATGCCTGATTACAATTCATTCCATAAAATAATCTTCAATAGCTTCGATCCTGCTAAAAAGACTGATAGAAAGATCAGTTCTTTTAGTTAGCTGATCTTTGCACAACACTTTTGGCATCCATCAAACCAAAAGTTTGCTGAGGCCAAGATGTTCACTTAAAATGAAAATGTCCAACTGATTTCAGCAGCTTTATCAAGTACAATTCTATGGCTTTCTTCTACCAACTTCGGGACTTCAGTCACAGTTTTTACATTCATGGAGGTTGTGGTATTATCTTTCTTGGCTCATCTTTGAGGTCTTCCTGACCTTCTTTCAAGTACCTGATCCTCCTAAAAACAAGTATTTTATGTGTAGCAATATTCCTGAAAACTTGTTGCCAAGCTTTAATAGTTTAGTAAGATATCCACTTGACTTTTGTTAAATCTTTGGTATTATCTCTGATCTTGGTCCCTAGTGTGGTGCTGTAGGAAAAGCACTGGATTGGTAAGCACTGGTTGGTTCAAACTCACCAGCCATTCTAGGAACTCCTATCCAAGGTCACTATGAGTGGAACAACAACAAAGCCATGGTCTCAAAATCATTCCCACTCTCCCCCTCCTCACAGCACAAAAAGGATCTTTTTTTGGAAGGTATCCTAGCAAGACTGTTGTGCATAAG